GCTTTTTTTCGGCGTTAAATAATGCCGCATTTTGCAGTAAATTGCCAATGGAAAAACTTCTTAATTTAAATACTCTCCTCCCCCTAAATTATCAGCAGTGAAAGGGAATTGGATTAGTTATGCCAACGCCTCTCCACTGCTAACTTTTCACTGCACGTCTTCATTATATCCTGACAGCACTTATTTTAGCACCAAAAGAGCTGCACTGGATGCAGTGTATGAATCTGGCCCTAAGCGAGAACTGGTGTAACTCTGGTTAAGCAAAGCTTTACTGGAAATGTGTGCGCTTGGGCCCACATACTGGTTCGCGTTTGGTGGAGCTGCTTGTCTTTCTTGACCATTCCCACCCCTCCCATTACTCCCCAACTGTGGACACAAGACACTGCAATGCACTAACGTAAACCCGTGTTATTGGGCTCGCACGATTATTGAAAGCAGCTTTTAAGAATCTTGCCGTCATACCTGTGTGTTCAAAGGTTCAACAGCAGAGTCCCGTGTGGAGTGTGAACCTCTGACCATGAGGTCCGGTGCTGCTTTCGGCTCACGGCACTCGCATGCGGCAGTCGATCGCACGCTGCCTGACCCCAGAGCGCTGCGTGTTACCGCCATGTGTCTGCCACATGTGCCCAAGGCGGAGGCTGGCATGCCGTGGCGCTCTGCGGTCTCCTGCACATCAACACCTCGGGAACTGGGAGGGGGCTAGGGCGCAGTGATTTGGAGGCCGGCCGAGGTCTTTAACGAGGGGGAAAAGTTCAGCGGGTTGGCGAGACGCGACTAATGGCCTGCACACGTCTCTCAGGCTCTGATGCTGCTTGGGGTGGGGGGAGGCGTCCTGCGTCAGCCAGTTCTCAGGCCCCCGGAGGCTGTATGTATGGCGTACAGAGGGATGCTGCTTACAGTTAATCCTGTCGTCGTCTCCCGCAGGTTCCACGTACGCTGCAGGCTTAAGGAGGCGCTGTGCAGGGGTGACATAGGGGCTGCATCCACAGAAACAGCCACCTCCCTCCTCGTCCGGCTGCTGTGGGATAGGCACTCTAACTTGAGCTCCGCCCCTCCAAAGGCCACGCCTCCAACAGAACATCACACTCCTCCCAGCAAGGCAACGGCCAAGAAAACCACAGTGCTGCAGACTATCTATGGTGAGTCTCTCTCGACCCATCATGCACTGGGGGCTCCAGTCAGCTGAGGCGTTGCCTTGACAGTGGCTCAGGGCACCGCTTTGGGACGTAATTTAGTTTACGATGGTCAGTAGCTGCAGGTGTGGGAGATACTGAGCGATGAAGCTTTATCAAACAGGGAGGAATGAGACTTGCCTGGGAAAGCACTCAGGGGGTGTCTGCTTCAGCTGTATGCGCTGCTGCTTTCCTACCTACTTTTAACAGCAGATTCACTGGAATCGCAGCTGAAGCCCATGAAGCGGTGCCATTGAGCCTCGCACCCAATGCGTACGCCTGCACGTTTCCCCCACAACGCGTGGGCTCCTGCACGCTGCTCCAGTTAAGCTAATTGGCGTCTCCAGATTACCCTTAGGGCGTATGTCTGGCTGTGTGTGTGCGTGCGCCTCGCGACCGACTGCCAGCCCAGCCCGCAGCCCGCATCACGCTTTCTATGACGGGCTCCAGGCTCACTGCAACCCCGTAAAGGACAGGCAGTAATGAAAGATGGATGGATGGACGGATACTGAAAAATTCAATCATTTTTGCATGCAGATCGTACATAAGCTAGTTAGCAAAACAACAGGATAGGTTGGTTGATCTTTGGAATCACAAAGGCAGTGTCCAGAGAACATAGCTTGCAGTGTTGCTCAGGTGATACCAATAAGCGCAGGTGAGCGGCTGGTTTCGGACGGCTTACGCACCGTGACTGACCTTCAGCGGACATGACCAGGTGATGATGAGCATGAGGAAGGCTGCCAGCTACCCCCCCCCCATCACGCTGACATATTTGCCACCGTGAAAAGTTCAGGGCTGTCGCTGGGAATGTCAGCCTGGCGCCTTTCAGCTGCCCCGCCCACCCCCGCATGCCGCATGTCCGCACACCTGCGGCGGGACACCTGCCCCCACCTGGTGGCAGAGGAGAATGCCGCTCGTGCGCCGTGCTCTCGCCACCTCAAAGGGCCAACGTAATACCGCCGCTTCGTGAACCGCTGGTATTTTTCCAAATGCCTGCTGAGGATATTTTTCTGCTTGAGACTTTCAAAGATCTTTTACTCAGACATACTGATCTTTCCATGACTTTTAGGGGTGCACACACACACGGTTATGCTGAGAAATCACACACGCACACACAAGCCACTTAACAGTATGTATACCTAGCTAGGACACCCCCCCCCCTTTGTACCGCTTCAAGGGTAAACAAGATGTTAACAGTCACAGACCCCAAGTACTGAGCTGTTATTTTTGCACTTGAGGTCATCCTGTTAGCTTTGAGTCTGGCTATTCCCCTCTGACCTCTCTCATTAATAAGGTATTTTTGTACACAGACTTCCAGCCAACTAGATTTCTTTTTATCATCAAGCTATTCTCTGTAAACTACACGCTTTAATATGGGAGAGTTTCCAGGAGGGAGGCTGTTTCTGAGATGCTGGAAGCACCACTCCTGGCACCAGTGATTATATTATGTTCAAAATTGCTTTGATCGTGCATCCTGGCCATCATAATGCTTAGACGCGCAGTACCTTGACCCCGTCTGCACGCTGTATGTATTCGGTCGCAGTCACACGATTCCGCCGTTCACCTTAACGAGCAGGTGCACCCGATAATGTGGCCGCTGAGTGTACGAACGTTATTAAACCCAAAAGGAAAATTCTGGCACCACAGGTGCATGAAGAAGTGCAGTGAAGGACAGCATTGCCAGGGCAATACAGACATTGGTACAAAAATCGTAGTAGTGGTACTTTATTGATCTCAAAGGAAAATCCAAATAAATAAATATAAAAAAAAAAAAAAACATTCCTGGAGTATTTTGAACCTGAGGTCCCTTTGATAGTGAGTTAGTGACTATGCTAGCCGTTTTGAGCTGTGTTGCTGGTGTGACAATAGCGATATGCTAATGTGCAGGTGGATCTCAGGCCAGGAGAGGGCGCCCTACCAGAAGCACGACCCTGAACTCCCGCAGTCGCTCACAGGTCCTGCTGGACTTGTCCCTGGGCTCTAATACTCACCGTAAGTATGGGCCAAGGTCACTTGCAGTGCATCACACACACACACACACACACACACTTAAGGCTCTCTGGTCGGTGTGTCCTGCTTTCCAGTGAACACCATCGAGTGCGTTCACCTGCTGGACACAGTGGATCAGGCCCGCCAATTCTCTTACCACATGAGGCCCAGCAGCGTCACCCGCGGAGCCAAAAGCAGGGGCAAGCGCTGAGGCGGTCCCCACGGGGCCCACCGCGGGCCCCGGGGCCTCACTGGTCAGGGTCCAGCCAGCAGGTATCCTCACCGTGCCTCTGGGGTCAGGGGGTCACATCCTGAGGTGGGACATTTCTGTTCATAGGTACTTCATTCAGCTCCAAAGAAAATGTCAACCCAGGAAATATGTTATTAGGACACCAAGAATGGCAAAAAGACCTTTGACTCACCAGCATTAAGACTAGCTGAGGGGGGGGGGGGAGTCTTAAATTCTGACCTTTTCACATGGACTAGTCCAGTTCCACGCAGAAGATGGGCCCATTTCAGCTGAGCTGCATCCCTGCGTCTCTGATGCCGGATAATGAAGGCTTGTGCTCCATCATGTTTTTTCTCTGCTCACTGTAATTTTGCAAACTACAGTCGTTCTTTTCACTATGGATCTGGCTGTGGTCCAGACGTAAAACAGCACCGCGTGTCCGTGGCGGCCGCGCCGCGCCCGCAGACAGGAGATAACCTTTCTCAGTGTGGGCACAAGGCCGCAGCCTGTCAACACCCAGCCATACAGCAGTCACAGCTGCAGCCCCAGGGGGGGAGGGGCAGGAAGATGCCGGAGGTGTGTCCGTCCGGCACGATGCAGCCGCCGCGCACGGAGACCTGACGTGTCACCTCAGCCTCTCCAGGGAGCCTTACTTTAATTACACCTGAAGAATTCTCTCCGAAGCCATAAGAATTACTTATTCGGCATTAATTGTATTAGACTGACTAGCCTTTAAATGACGTGGTACACATATTTATTCACGGTGCTGTGTACTTATTTATACCGCATGGTATTTTCAGTAGTCTGCCTGTGCATATTACTCATTATAATTAAAATCCCCTTTTCACTACTGCTTATAAGGGCCTTGTCCGCCTGTGAAAACTTAGTAAAAACGCTCCCAGAAGACGGCTCTGAAGTCCTTCTGTAATTACGAAAGAATACCTCGTAACTCATTTTGTAATTATTTGCTGAAATAAAACATTTTTCAAAGGATGTTGTACTTCTGGCACATTTAATTTCAAAAAAAGGTTTATTTCACCCATTCATCACTCCAGGTTCATGTTTCTTATAAAAAAAAAAACAAAACAAAAAACTCATTTAGCCTGATGAAGAGTCTGTGCGTGTCTGTGTGCGCGTGACCAGAAGG